TGCTTGAGAAATCTTGTATTTAATTGTGTTGGCTCAAAGTTCTTGAGTGGCAGTACTTGTTTAGCTCTATAAAACTCTTTTGTAGTCATTCAGAAAAACAGGTGAAGGGCTAACTAAGTCAGCTTGCGATGTGGGTCATAGTCCAGTGTTCTCTGACCAGGTTCCTCTAGATATTCTACATGAGGAAAGCTTAATGCTGTAGAACCAAACTTACTCAGTTGAAGATATTTTTTGCTATGTGGGATTTTGATTTAGAAAAGTAATGGAGCAACACACTGAAAGCACAACACAAGCACAATACAGCAATTGTATATACAGTTGAATCACAATACAAACATCATTCCCTTTACCAATCTCTATAAGCTTGCTCACCACTGCAGTGCTGGGTGATCCCAGCTGCCAGAAGGACCATATGGATTGAAGCCAGCTCAGGCCTATTGCTCTCCTCAAAGTTGCTTTTGCTGGTTGTTCAGGTTTTATACTCTATGTCATGCTGAGCCATGTTCACACATCCCCATGTTTGTGTGGCTGACTCGGGAATATCCTACTTTCTATTAATTATTTTAGGGAAGATCTATTTGCAACCAACTGACACCTTCAACTGATACAGCTGTTTGTTTACAGCAAAGGCCATCTATGGTCACCTTGGTGTGAGATCAGTTCAGCTTCTTTGGTGACAGCTGTTGTCACTTCCTACATTCTTTTCTGAGCTTCACACACACGTCTGTCTACTCTGAGCCTTCTTCCACTGAAGGTGTTCACTGATCACTCACAGAACAAAAGTGTGGCTTTGTAAGGCCAGATGTTGCTTTTTTTTTTTTTAATGTACTGCATGTTAATGAACATGCCATTCAAAGAAAGAGAAAACCCAACAAACTTACGCTGCTGTGTCTTTACTTTGGCTTCCCAGTGGTTTATCTTTTGCTGACGTGTTTTGGTTTTTTTTTCCCCCATTTTCTCAAGTGTCATTTTTACTTGAGAACGTGTGTTTCTGTGACCTCTGATTTAAACTCCCAATTGGTTTTTCAACCTTGAATAACTCACCTAAACTACAGTGCACTGGAAGGAAGAAAACACTTCTGGTACTAAATCAGTTTTTAGAACTTCCTTGGAAATTTAATATTCACATGATGTCGATGGATTTAGGGTGGTGTGGGTTCATTGCAGTTTATTAACTTGTAAGATAATTATTCTAAGAAGTAAATTTTTAAATAAAACAGACTTCTCAAGATACTGATTTAACAACACCAACTCAGTGATGGCAAAGAAAGCTAAAAGCCTCCAGTAGAATTGTGGATATTTCTCTGACTACCACAAATTGTTGAGTTTGAACAGAATCTCCCAAATAATAAACCCTGATTGTTATGCAGAGTAAAACAAATCAGTTATTTCTGTGTACTTTTCTATTCATACCATGAAGTTATTTTTCTGGTATATCTGATCTTTACTGTACTGTGGCTGGTTAACAGATTATTTTGGTATTTATTTCCCTCTTCCGTGATTGGGTTACACAGGTAGTGAAACGAGGATGATTCTCCTGCATTATTTTAACAGTCTTGAGTTGGGAATGAAATGTGTCCATTGATGCAGAGGCTGGTGTGGTCCTTCTTCTGCCAGCACAGATGAGATGTTATTTTCTGCCTCTGCTGAAGTGGGAGAGTTGTCTTGCCCAAGTGTGCTCTTTCTGTGCTCATAAGACACTTGCCTCAATTCACTCCATTGGATAATGTGAGGGAGAGAGGGGAGTGGAAGCCTTCCCTTCTCCATGCACCAGGCAGAAGTTGGCAACAGATGAATTTTTTGAGCTGCATTACAGAGAACATGCTTTATGTTTTGTAGAACAGCAAATCAGAGCTGGGTTACATTTGGCAATATCCTTTCTTTACCTTTCATAATAGCTGAGCTTGGCAAGCTCTGTTTTCCTTCATTCTTGTCTGTCTGCATGGAGTGTAGCTGTAGTATCTATGACAGTGTTTTATACGAAGATTGATTGCTAGTGCGCTTATACCAATCGCTAAGCTATTTTTTTCTATTGCATCTGTTTGAGCTACTGGCCAGTCATATCTCTGGTATGAAAGAGAAAATAACTGGAAATAAGTTTTTGTTGTTCAGACAAACAGTTTGTGTGTTGTGTATTTTTTCTTTATAACCAGAGCCCCTTAAGTGAACTGAAAATCATCCTGTTTTCAGGGAAAAGAAAAAAAAAAGGAAAGTGACTTCATAAAGTGATGACTGTCAGTAAGTGTTGGGTCTGTTCCAGTTATGCCAATCAGTTAAACTGTGAGCACGCAGGAGGTGGGAAAGGGGAGATGGCTCATGGCACACTCTTCCAACTGCTGCACTCAAACTGTTGGGACCATCTGCTTGAGATTAGAGTGATCTAGAATGAAGCATGTAATCAGTCTCCCCCCCGCCCCAGTACTGGATTTCAGGATGACCAAGTTACTATATTTCAGTGATGCGTGCCAACTTGGAGAAATGAAGGAATTATCTATCTAGAATAAACTTGGGGAGGGAGAGGAATAAAGAGACTGTAAATATTTTTATATTTCAAATTAAAGACTTTCAATCTGGACTTCTGTGGAAGGAAAGAAGAGAGAGAGCAGAATGATAAAAAAATTAGAAAGGGAACAACTGAAAAATTGCAGATGGGAAATGGCAGGGCGTTCCTTAGATGCCACTTGCTCAAAATTTCGCCCCAGAAGGCTGCTGCTTTTCCCATACTATTACCAGGTCAATGATGAGCAAGTGATAGCTCTAAGTGAAGTAGCAATAGAGACACCCCACCACCCATACAGCATAGCAGCACATTCTTTTATTTATTTTTGGGTTTGTTTGCATATGGTTCAATACCAGTATTTATGGAAGGGTTTTAAAAATGGGATGAGCTTAAACCATATACTGCAGGTTATGTCTGAACTGGAAGAGGTGAAAACTGCTTACATAACTGCTCCTGCATTTTCAGAGGCCCCTGAGCAAACAGTCTCCATCCTCTCAGCACTGGAGGTGGAGCCAACGCTTTCCTAGGGAAGACTTAGCAAAGAGTGGAAAGTTGGGCAGGTCAGAAGAATCTGGCATGGGAGAGACTGGAGAGCCCTCAGGAAGCAAAGCTGCTGTGGGTAGCAATCCTGGTAACATTACTCCCTTTCTTGCACCACCTCACTTCTATAAAGTTAGGTGGGTTTAAGAACCCCCTCTTCTTTTGAGACAAAATTCTACCTTTTTGACCTTTAACAATATCCAAATGAGTGCAGCTGTCTGCTCTGCCAGCATGAAGACATTGAGTGTTTCACCCACGGAAGACCATAAAGGAATTGGTTCCTTCTCAACCTCTTTCAGTGTTGGTGCTTTCTGAGCAGATTTCACAATTAAACTGGGGAAATGAAACTTACCTATGAAGTCCAAGATTGCGGGTGAAAGGGTGCCGAGGGACATTACTGCAACTATGTTGTTAATGAAGCCATAGCAGAGATGTGTTCTGCTGTTCAGGTACACCATAAGTAAAACTGAAGGAAGCGTGTCAATGACTCCTACGTACATGATGTGCTGAACAGGAAGCATTTATTTATGTGAGCAATACATTAACAAGTAGCAAAGTTATACACTAAATTTATGTAGAAATATATTTCCCCCACCTCCAGGACACCAGTCAACTGAATCAGGGCAAGACCTCCCGAAATAATGTGATTCTGTGTTTCATTCATTTACCTTTAGTTTGCTAATGAACTTTCAGTCTGCAATGTAAACTGGACAATGTTTTTTCTCTCAAGTTGAAGAATTCAATTGCATAGCACCAGCTGTGTCTAATATTTCAATGAGAGGAGCTCACCAACATTGTGTTCCATTTTCTTAATAAAAATTACTCTCTGTGAAGACTTTGAGCACTCCATCACCAGTCCATCAACTGACACAGAGTATGGTGTGGACCACTTCTGGTGCAGACATGTTTTGGATTTGTTCTAACCTACAAATTAAAGAAGCTTCTTATGCATGTAGGGAGCTATGATTTATACGACTGTTTACATATATACAAAATAAATTTAACTCTTGTCATTAGGGATTCAGGCCCATCTGAGGACTCTAGAACTTGTCCAATTTCCACTAAAGCTTGAAATGCAGTCCTACTGCTAGACAAATCACAGATATCAGGGATATTATTCTCTTTTTAGCAAAAAAGTAGACTAGTAACTGTATAGTAGGTAAAAAGCAGTCCTTAAAAAAAATACAGAAATTACACAAAAGGCTGTAGTAAAGTGCCTAGCAAGAATGTAAAGGACAGGAGAATCAGTGTAAGCAGATGAACAACATTGCATCCTTGCTCCCCTGACCTCTTCACAAATTCTCCTGTGTGCATTTTAACACTGACAATGCTCAGTATGTCATAAAGAGCATTTTCACTTTGTTACAGAAAGTATTAGAGAGCTTAAAGCCAAGAACATAGTCATATCATCAGAAATTATACTTTGGAGCATGATTAGCTCACTTTTGTCCGTATCTACACAGACAGGAACCCTCAAAAGCCAGCTGACAGTGCTCTTCATAGAGACAACTCATACCCATCCAGAGAGCAGATGTGGCAACAGCCCTCTGGCTCAGATCTGCTCCATGTTTACCTCTGAGCTATCATCCTTTCCTCTTTCCACTTCTCCTCCCTTCATCAACATCTGTTTCCCATGCCTCCATCAGTTTTCTGCTATGGGGACAGCCTCTGGCTGCATCAAAGCTGCAGATTACTTAGGGCTATTGTGCTTTCCAAGTGTGACTTCTGAGACACAGAGAAGCCAGGCATTTCTTGATCCCTTATCCCTGGCCTTTCTCTACACTGATCCCCAGCCTTAATGAGAGCTCTCAGAGCCCTGGAAATAGAGAGACTGACATCTGTATTAGAGAGATCCATTTCCTTGATATGTTTTGCTGGGGAAGAAATCCTTTGTCTTTACATAAAAATATGGAGCAAGTTACACTGAAGCTGAATTTCAACTTTTTACTCAGTATTTTTTAATGCATGCTCCATGACAAACCACCCTGTGACTAACTGCGTAAAAAACAAGACTCTACAGATATAGAGAACCTGAAGTGTTAAAAAATATATTTTCCCTCTTCCCCCTTATCCCTTAACAAGTTCACCTTTAAACAAACATAAATACGAGGTAAGCTGACAGAACAATACTGAATAAATAGCTGCAAAAAATCTTTTGGTTGCTAGACCTCTGCAGGCATCATGTAAACTGTATGCTACCTTCATGCTAGTTCAGAAAAAGTGTTCTACATCAAGGGATCCACAGTCTGGCACTTCTGGCAAGAAACAGATGTTTTCAGGCTGGTAAAATTTTGAGATTAAAAAAAAAAAGTAAAATAAATACATTTTTCCTCAATAGAAACAAAAAGCCACATTTGTGCTCCACCAGCTATCACTTCAGTTGTAAACCCAAGAAAGAAAAATTTTAAGTTACCTGCCTGTAGAAGAGTTAATGATAGTATTCTTTGCTTTCAGAATTATGTCACTTAGTCCTGCTGCCAGTTTTCTAAACAAACAACTGGCATCTTTACACTGTGAACCAACCTGCTAAGAGACTCAGGTTTGACAACAGAAGCACTTTTCTGTTTCAACTGAGCTGAGCTTAGTCTGAGAGGTTTTCACTTTTTTTTGAATAGTCCTTTTATCTAGCCACCTAGAAAGCATAACTAAATTTCTCCTAAAGTTGTTTTCAGAATAACAATTTGCATTTAAATGTAAACACTGATACTATAAATGTAGTGTATACAAAAGGCACAAGACAGTTAGATTTGTGTTGCTGAAACTTCCTTGATTTTGAAAACTGATAATGTGTCTTTTATTACCTGGCCAGTAACCTCTGATGCTAAGAAAGCTGCTAGCTCCTAACTTTATTGAAGGGGATTTCCTACTTGCAGCAGCTTGGCTTTTTGGTATTGCAATCAAAAGTCTGTTGTCCTGTAAATGCAAATATCAGAAGTCATTGTGATAAGTCTCCTTGATTGTACATGATATTCATTAAATTATACAGTAAGAAAGGCAGTGTCTTGAAGAACAAGAAAAAAGAAATCTGACACAAATATTGATAATAAGAAACTAGGAGCTTGAAAGACAGAGGCCCTCAGGAACACAGGTTGGTATAAAGCCTTTTGGATTAAAGTTCAGTGCCAACATTCACTTCCCAAAGCAGTTAAGAGCTCCAAATGGGACAATAAAATTCCCATTTCATAGCACTATCCTGTGCAGCTCCCATCAAAATCCCCAGCTGGCCAGTTTCATTTATGTATTACCCATCTGAATACAGGCTTTTTATCACAGCATTGAGCAGTGACCCACTGTAGCATTCAATTAACAAAGAATTTTTTTCCCCTCTGTAACTTTTCAAACTATTGGTAGTGCAGATCTGAGGGGAAACGGAGCTTTTGCAACAATGGTTTCCAAAAAAATGTTCCAAAAATAGACATTTCACTTGGGTCTTCTTATCTTCAAAAACTGCTTATCAAACACTCAAAAGAAAATACAGTCCACCAAGCCACTAAATTATTCATAATCAACACTGGATGTTCTCCCAATTCATAAGGGATTCATAAGGGCAGTAGTGCAAAATTTTGATTTTAAAGTCAACTACTTACAACAATTTGAATTAAAAGGTGAAACCAAGGCAAGAACATGGACTGATGTGTAACAAGGTCACATTTTTCTTGTGCTGAATATCAAAGTAAAACCAGCCATTTGTAAACTCAGCCTCCTATTTTTTTCATTTCCTAATATTCAATCATCCTTCACCATTCAAACACAGTAATTTTAAACTGAAAAATTCTTTGTCTGGTTCAGAAGTAGTATGTCTAGTTTTGTATTTCAAGCAGTGACATGGAGACAGTTAATCATCTGTTGGTTTGTTTTCTGAGCACATCCATACAGGAGCAGACAGGAATAGCTGACCAACAGGGCTGAATTTGGAAGAATCCATCTTCCTTCCAATGACAGCTTGTTCTTAAATTGGAACAGAACATTAATTACAAAATACATTATTACAATCAAAGAACACTTAAAAATTAAGTTATTGCTACAGGTATCATCAACTTGAAGGGGAAAGTGACCAACAGAAGCATGAAAATTATGAAAGAGGAGCACCATAAGACTGTTCACAGTTGTGTTACTCATGTTATGCTATTAATCTACTTCAGGATGACAGTGATTAAGTACTGACTACACAGCAAGCAGGCCACAAGTTTATAAAATGAAGTGAGCTATTTTTACAGTATTTCCAGGTACCAGCATCATTAAAAAACAATTCTCTATTACATTACTGTAAGCCACATCTGGCATTCTCAGTAATTATTCCTCTAATGAACTATAAAGCATTATAGGATACAGGTTATTGAACAGATCCTTAGTTGGGACAGAAATTCTAACTCTAACACGCTGGCAGGGGCTGTGGGCTGTATTTTTCATGTCAAAGATGAAATTACTTGGTTTTGTTGTGGTGACTTCAGCAGCTCTATTACTCTATTCACTCCCTAGGAAAAAATATAACTCAAATACTGACAATAAAGCAAAGAAGTTAAATGCAAAGTAGTTAAAAAAAGTTGTTATATAAGGGCTCTTATTCCAGCAACTGTATATACATATACATTTATATATATAAATTGGCTTTTTTATTACTTCTCCGTTAAAGTCTTTTAAGTGCCACATAGAACCAAACCAGTGCTTATGCTCATGCCAAAGAATTAGCAGTCCTTAAGATACTACCCTTCTGAAATGTGCATGAGTCCATCTGAGGCAAAATTAACTTCCAGGAGCCCCTTTATGTGGTTTTACACTTACTCTTTGGAACATAACCTCCTCCAAAAGTGGTATCTCTTTAAAAAGCCTCATTTCATAATGGATGCTCACAAAAAGAAAAAAACAAAAAAACTCCAAACAAACAAACAAAGCCCACAAACCCCAGGAGTGAGTTAATCAGACTGCAAACATATTTCTAATGGTTACTTTCTCAGACTGGATGAAAAGAAAAAAAAACAATTAAAAAAGAGATGAGTTGTTTATCAAGCTGAACAGCAGAGAAAAAACCCACTATTAACATCTCTAGAACAGTCACAGACCATGTCTGATATTCAGAATAATCTGAATGACTAAGTTCCAATAAAATGTACAACTCTTCAAAGAAAGATTAAAGTTTAAAAGCTATAACTTAAGTAAATAAAGTGTTAGGACTTTAGAAAGTAGAAATCCAACCCAATAAAACTAGTTGCAATTAATGGTATTTCTGTAACATAATCCAAAAATCTGTTTCTTTAAAGTCTGTCTCCAATGTTTTAGTCTTGATCAGTGATGACATGTAAGACATCAAACTAACTGAAGTTGAGTAATTTATTCTTTCCCAGTAGCTGCTCTTTTGTTAAAAAAAAGATGGATTAAACAGGGCAGAAATACAGCATTTTCCATTTTGAACAAAGGCTTAGAAATGAGTTTTTTATATTCTATTCAAATAACATACACAGAGCCGTCAAAATTGCAGACAGCGTCTTAAATTTCCTTCGCTCATCTCTTTAACTCTGCTCATCTGACACCCACATTTTCAACACTTCTAAAACTTCACATCATCATCAAGTTTGCAGATGTACCTATATCTGGAACTGTGTCTTCATCACTGAACACAAAAACAGAATGTAAGGGTCAAGAATTTTTTTAGTTTCTCTTATGAATCAAACTGAACTTTTTGGTACAAGCTATGGGCCGATCTATTGGTATCTGCACACCTACCATTTTTATAATCTGCTTTGACAGTGCAATACCATTTCTGATGCATCTAGTAACAATCACTGCAGTTCCCTGATGGCTTTCTATGCCTTCCACTTCCTCCATGAGGGACCATGACAGCATGAGTCACGTCACACACAAACGAAGCATATCCACTCAAGACACTTTTTCAGGACGACTGGAAAGGTACTTCCAACAGTAGAGACAGAATTGACCTTGCTGTCATACCAACTATTGCTCCGTACCAATTATTTGGTATACAGAAAGTCTTAGGGTTGGGGTCAAATTTTTTATACAGTTTTAAATACAAAATAGTTTAATTCCATAAGCTTCAGTGGACTTAGCAATATTCAAATACTAAACTGAATATGATGATCGATTGTGTTCATTCCCCAAAACCCAATTATTAAGGTCTCCTTATGTACCAAACAGAATCTACTAGCTGCTTCTCAAACCTGCTTTCTGGGAAGTCTACATTACAAGATATCACTGCAAGAAATCAAAAAAATCTCAGTTGTTTCTGACAATGGGTGATTAGATGTTCAGGAAGTCATACAAACACTTTTTGTCTTCAGTAGGCAGCACTTTTTTACTATCAGAAAGGATCCAGCTCAGTGCCTGACACAGAACAAGACATGAATAGCTTATATTTAAGATTAAATCCTTTTTCCTTCATCATCTGATAGACCTTTACCTGCTTTACCATACCAAGCTGTGATCTTGGCATTCTGTGTTAAGAACTAACTTAATTTTCAAACTCAGCTTTACAAATATGGGCTGAACAGTTTGAATAGTCATAATTTTACTGTCTTTCTAAAGAAAGGGAATAATAATATATTGGAACATTACCTAAAACTAATGGGTATAAAGATTGAACTATTTTGCAAACATGATACATCAAGAAATAGGAGGTTTAGTTTAAAACTATGAATTCATGTGCTACTACTCATGGTAAAAAAATTAATTGAAGAAAAGAAAACATATAGGAATTGTTTTAGTAATTTTCTTTTGTGCGTTCCTCAAGTGATAAGGAATCATGGAATAACATATTAAGTACAGAGAATATTAACATACCTTTTTCTTACATAGTCAGATGTTTCTTTTAAGAGAAATTAGGTTTCATTTTCCATGGTTAATGCAGGATTGTTCATACCTTTAAAGACAAAGAATGGTACTTCCACAAGAAAAGGTCTCATGTCTACTTCAGCAAATAATACAACTTTTAATTAACAATCATTTTAATGCCATTACACTATTACTAAGTCTATTCCTGTCCTGTGTCTATCACACAGCTTTTCACTAGTTGCAACTAGGTGTTATCATACTCTTTTATAAGCAATATCTTGTCAAAAGTACTATCAGGCCTAGCTTAAAAGATAATTAGCACCTACTGGTGTCAGTGTCCTCAGTACCTCAGTCAGGTTTAACTAGGAAGGGCACAGCAGCTTTGACACATGGAACTTCCTACAAGCATGCATTTAGAAGAAGCTTCATGAATTTTGGTTCATGAATACAAATCAAGTGACCTTCCAAAACTAGTTTATACAACACGAATCATTGCGGCAAAAATCCATTCCTTACCAATTTTGCCCTTTTCAGCCTTTACACTAGTTTCTGACCAAGAAGGTGTATCCGTAAGTAGGTGGCTCTGGGAATCACGCAGTGGCTTTGCAGGAAACAGATGGTTCTCACTGTAGTGCCAATAAAAAGAACATTAGTAAACTGCAGTAATTTTTCATTATCTTACCACACATTACAAACACTTTGTCATACGCAGTACCTTTCTTACCTTACCTTGCTGCTTTTCTGATGAATCACTACTCTTTTATCATTACATATATTACAGCGCAGTTGTCACAGATGCAAGTGCAATCTAAAAAGCAACTCCCTAGCACAGAACAGGGAAACATTCTGATTTTTGACAGCTATTCTATATTAATACATGTATGTACTTCAGCTCCAAAGGCACTTTTACCTATAATCTTTCCCACTACAACAAGCTAGACATGATAAATAGTGGAGAGAACATCTCCAAAATCTCTTGCCTACCATAAGCTATGGAATGCTGGGGTAAGATAAAACGTCAGTAAGCAACTAGCTGAAATATAATATATTTCTATTATGAATAAAAGATTGTCAATATGATTCCATTATCATTTCTTAGCCACGTATTCAAATTTACTATACTTATCCCACTTTTCATTACATAAATGTTGCAAAAAAGATATGAAATACTAAGCTATTATATTTATTTAAAGGAGCATCTGCATACTTTTCACACTTTAAAGATGTCATGTTCATTAAATTTAAGAATTAATAAAATATGTTCTATTATCAGCAGAAACAACACTTAATATTTAGCTTCCTGTGCTTTAGCACAAGTGCCATAAGAGATTCCTTCCTGTGAAGCAGCTTTCACCAGACACGACAAAGCAGGCCTCCCCCAAAAGCTGTGCAAGGTAATGGATTTGTATCACAGGCAGACCAACTAACCAGCTCATACGTACGCAGAACAGAATGCTGCTGATACTGAATGTCAGGGAGGGGTGGAAAACTCAGGTCCTGGGATGCCACTGAACCAAGACAAAGTACATTGGGGGAAAAAACCCCACCCCACCTCACTTCCATAATGTAAAAATAAATCTGAGAATTAGCTGATTTGCTTAGCTGTTTAAAATCTGACTTGGATTTATTAACAGGGTATATAAAAGTGGTAAGCAAATGAAGAGTATCTTATACATGGTTCTGTTCATGTGTGCACAGGAAAAAAATCAACTATTTAGAATGAGTAACAAAAAGCAGATTACTTTTTGGATGTTGAATTAAGACCACCAGGTGTGGAAGCTTGCTCAGGATCCTGATTAACAAGGCAAGTTGGGAAGGAGCAACCATCCCCTAAACTGAAAAATTCAGAATTAGTGTCATACATACAAAAATCCAACAACTTTGAAGAACTTTTTTATTAAAGTATTACTGCATCTTATTTCAAAAACTAACCACCCCCAAATCCTCTGGATCCTGATTATTCAACAGTTTCAAGAAATGAAGCATTAAGAACAGCATACCTTGAAAACACAGGCAGCAACCAATATTTCTTCTCATCACCAAACACCTGCCTTAGGTTTTTGCTGAAGCCCAAGCTAAAGCCATTCTTGTCTGTTCTATGACGAAATATGGGAGCTCTGAATACCTCTTAAAAGAAAAAAGATTAATTAGATCTCTTCACAAGTTACAATGTTTACGTTTCACACCAGTATATAGGCAATTGCACCAATGATACCATCATCCAAGAGGAAAGGCTGTACTGCCCAAACGACTGAGAAAGCTGAAGTCAGTGCTGCACACTCGCTGTGCGTGCAGAGGAATTCCAGTGGCTCAGGAAGGGTGGAAGTCTCCTTCACTCTCCTCCCTAATCAAGGCAAGGGAGAGTGAGGAACTCACTTTTTAAGAAGGCATGATATGTTTATATGAAGATTTCAGCATGTGACTGTACCACAGAGAGTGTTCAAGAAAGAAAAACCTAAACAAAGGGTTTAAGACAGAAAGAGCAATGGAAAGGCAGAAAAGCTTAACCTACTTTAGTAGTAAGACTAGCCTTTCACATGAAAATATTGTGTGTTTTTACAGCTGCATAAAGAAAAGACTTTGCTCATAGACCAAGATTATTTCCCATGGACATGCAACCTAAATTTCTGGAGAAGAGAGCTAAATATAGCTTTAAGTGTTGCAAAGTGCCTGAAGCACAAAGTTCATTCACTTTCCACTAAGTAACTGATAGCCATTTAATTCCTTTAATTGGCTATATATAGTAGGCAAACTACATACTGATGTCCTGACAGTACAGCTCCCAGAAACCATGTCAGAATCATGCTGAGATTGTCCTTCTGCAGTAAAACCTTAGCTATGAACTGCTGGAAATGACCCTCCACATGCAGTATGCATTAGTTACCATGGGTTTTAAAGAAGGGGGAAGGGAAAATGGGGGCACCCTTTCAGATGCCCATGTTAAGCCAGGAAAACACCTCCCAGGATGATTTAATCACACTCACACTTAAAGCTATCATGGCTTCATTACCAAATTATTGCATGTTGAATGTTTCACATATTGAGCAATTTCCCAAAGTAAAGTAGGAAGAAGAGACAAACAGATCCCTTTGAGTAGCCTAAGCATGCACAAACCATGTTATATTACCTGTATTGAATTCTGTTTGTTTTGAAAATGAAACGTTGAATTAAAAGTGTAATGTATAATGGTTACCTCTGAACAATTTTTTTTGCACTAAAATTGTAAGACCAGTTTATAAATAGAATATTTAATTACTGCCATTCATTTAAGCATCTTTAATAAAACTTTTCTCCTTATAACTAGACTGAACCATTTTTTTCCAATACTAATTTCTAAGTCAATGATTTGTCAGAATATTGGAGAAATCCACAAACCCTAGAGAAATCTTGACATAAACAAGCTTTCTTCCATTGATATAGATATCTATTCTCAAAGTTTTCCATTAGTCACCTACATATTAGTAAATCCAAAGAGAACTGGAAAAAACAGATCAATTCACTGGCTTACTCTAATTCAGCTTATATCAACAGAAAAGCACTTAAAGACTTAGAACTTTAATGGTTACATTGCAAATTGGCATTATTACAGTCCAGGATACAGCACAGAACAGGCACTCAAATCTTCTGCACCTTCTTTTATTTATTAAGATTTGTAATCAGAAACATATGCATTTAGGTGGAGGAAAATCCTGGTTTAAGGCTGATATTCAATGCAATTATATATACTGTTCTATAGTAGAGGAACAGGCCATCTTCTTTGAGGTTTTAAAAATTAATTCACAACACAGAGCCCTTTCTATGTATCTATAATTATGTGGTAGACAGGTCTCACAATTGTGAAACTGCCTTTAGGATCTCCATTGTTCACTTACTACTAAATATAGAAGCACTGCCTGTTCTTCTTTAACAGGTCATTCTCTGACAGAACTTTGGTTCTGCAGGGGATAAGGGTGGGCATGAAGTGCTGGAGCCACTGCCCTTACTGAGACACCATATCAGAGGACTCTGACCTTTGGGCTGAGAATGCCAAACAACAATCACATGTGCGAGCATGCAGTAGTGCATCTAACATTTATTAGAAAATCATCTCAATTTTATTTTCAGTTTTTTAGTTTATTCAGTTTCTGTTAACAAGCTGTGGGTAGAAAGCAGTGAGAGGAAGAGCATAAGTTTGCTAATAACTTAGCCCTTTGGGACAAGAGGGAAAGAGAATTTCCAGGGAGCAGCAGAAGTGGGGAGTCAGGACTGGACAGTGCCAGATCTTGGCAATTTTAACCAGGGTCCAAGGAACCTGTGTAGAATTGTCCACTTTTTCCATTACACCCGCACATAAAATATACATTTATTATTTATTTTTTGCTGTCAAACACAGAAGCATTAAATCTACTTACCTAATGTGGATTTATTCTTGCTGACAAGCCAACAGTGATACCCAAAAAGAGAAGACAAACTGACAGAAAACATAGCTGCAGCAAAGAATAAAAACATGATGTGGAACTTGGCTTGAGTATCAGGAAGGCCATTCTAAAAATAAAAAAAATGATGCCATTAGAACTGGGGAAATAGCTGTTTAATTTGATTATTAATAATCCTCTATTCAGCAAAATCAAATTCAGCACAGAGACAAATGTACCCCACAAGAATATGAATAAATGAATTACACACCTCCAGTGTACAGACAGCCATGCAACTAGGTTGGTGACAGCATTTAAGTTAAAAAAACAGGCCCTTTCTTGAGAAACTATAAATACTGAGAGCAAGAATCTGAAATTTGGATCTGAACTTTGAAGTGTTTTTTAGTGAAGAATAATTTGTCTTTACAAAAATTGTGTTGTTTGATTAGCCTTTTCAAAATACTTATAGCATAAATCAGCTTCAAAATAACTAAGAAATGAGTGAAATTTCATGACCTGTGATAAGACAAAAAAAATGAGGGCTGTAGTTATTAGATCTTTCGTACTTTTGTATGTGATATTAGGAGATACTAGATTACAATGTAATGCCTTGGAATCACAGAATGTCTTGGCTTGGAAGGGAAAAGTGCGAGCAAAACCTCAACTCTGGACATGAGGAGAGGAGACTTCAGGTTGCTCAGGAAATTAGTAAGTAAGGTACTCTGGGAAAATGTTTTTGCAGATGCTGGGGTACATCAGTGCTGGTCACTTTTTAAATACCACCTCCTAAGGGCACAGAAGCAGGCAATTCCCAAATGCTGGAAGTCAAGCAGACAAGGCAGAAGGCTGGCTTGGCTGAACAGGAATCCTCTCTCAGAGACGAGGCAAAAAAGGAAAGTGTCTCCCAATGGAAGCAACGTCAAGTAAAATGGGAAGAATTCAGAGATGCTGCTTGCCACTGCAGGGAGAAAATCTGTGTGGCCAAAGCTCAGCTGGAGTTGAAGCTGCCAGAAATTTGGGGGACAATAAAAAGAGATTTTTCAAATATATTAATGGCAATAGGCAGTATAGAAATATCATCAGCCTGTTATAGGATGGGGATGGTCACTTCACAAACAGGGACAAAGACAAGGCAGGGGTGTTTAATACTTTCTTTGCCTCTGTCTTCAATTCGGATGACAGACCAAGTGCCCTGAGCTGGAGGACCATGACTGTGAGAATGATCAACTCCCAGTTGACCCTGAAATTGTGCAGGATCTGCTGCTCCAGCTGGATCCCTACAAATATGTGGGGCCTGATGGGATTCATCCAGGAATTCTCAAAGAATTAGCTGATGTCATCACAAAACCTCTCTCGATTTTTTGAGCGGTCTTGGGAATCTGAAGAGGTTCCAGCTGACTGGAAGCTGGCGAACCTCATCCTGATTTTCAAGAAGGGCAAGAAGGAGGATCCTGGAAACTATAGGCCTCTCAGTCACGCTTCAGTGCCTGGTAAAGTAATGGAGAAGATTATTCTGGAAGGTATTGAAAAACACCTGAAAGACAACGCAGTCATTGGTCACAGCCAGCATGGCTTCATGAGGGGAAAGTCCTGTTTATCAAACCTTATTTCCTTCAATGATAAGGTAACCCACCTATTTGATAAAGGGAAGCCAGTTGATGTAATCTCTTTGGATTTTACTAAAGCTTTTGATACTGTATCTCACAGGATCCTTCTGGACAAAATGTCCAGCATACAGCTGGATAAACACATGATGTGGTGGGTGAGCAATTGGCTCACGGGTCAAGCACAGAGGGTAACAGTGAATAGGGTAACATCAGACTGGTGACCTGTCCCTAGCGGGATTCCACAGGGCTTCATCTTGGGCCCTGTGCTCTTCAACATCTTCATAAATGACTTGGATGCATGACTGGAAGGGATACTAAGGAAGTTTGCAGATGACACAAAACTGGGAGGAGCTGTTGACTCCTTTGAAGACAGGGAGGCCCTGCAGAGAGACCTTGACAAATTGGAGGACTGGGCAATCACCAACCATATGAAGTTCAACAAGGCGAAGTGCCAGATTCTGCATCTGGGATGGGGCAACCATGGATGTTTGTACAGACTGGGGAATGAGATGCTGGAAAGCAGTGCCACAGAAAAGGACCCGGGGGTCCCAGTCAATGGCAAGTTGAATACGAGTCATTGTGCCCTGGCAGCCAGGAGGGCCAACCGTGTCCTGGAGGCATCAGGCAAAGCATCACCAGCCAGTCGAGGGAGGGGATTGTCCCACTCTGCTCTGCACTGGTGTGGCCTCACCTTGAATACTGTGTGCAGTTTTGGGCGCCAAAATAGAAGAAAGATATTAAGCTCTTACAGAGTGTCCAAAGGAGGGCAACTATGATGGTGAAGGGCTTTGAGGAGAAGCCGTATGAGGAGCAGCTGAGGGCACTTGGTCTGTTCAGCCCGGAGAAGAGGAGACTGAGGGGAGACCTCATTGCAGTTTACAACTTTCTCGTGAGGGGAAGACGAGGAGCAGACGCTGATGTCTTCTCTGTGGTGAGCAGTTACAGGACACAATGGAATGGTCTGAAATTGTGTCAGGGGAGGTTTAGGTTGGATATTAGAAAAAGCGTCTTCACCCAGAGAGGGTGGCTAGGTACTGGAACAGGCTCCCCAGGAAGTTCACATCACCAAGTCTGATAGAGTTCAAAAAGTGTTTGGATGATACTCTCAGGCACATGGTGTGACTCCTGAGGATAGTCCTGTGCAGGGCTAAGGGTTGGACTCGATGATCCTTATAGGTCCCTTCAAACTCAGCGTATTCTATGATTCTGTGATCTAGTTCCAAGCCCCCTGCCATGGACAGGGACAGCTTCCACTAGAGCAGGTTGCTCCAAGCCCCATCCGACCTGGCCTTGAACACTTCCAGAAATGGGGCATCCACAATTTCTCTAGGCAAATTCACCATCCTCACAGTAAAGATTTTCTTCCTAATATCTAATCTTAATCTGCCCTCTTTCAGTTTAAAACCCTTACCACCGCTTGTCCTAACACTACATGTCCTTGTAAGAAAGTCCCTCTCCAGCTTTTTTGTAGACACCCTTAAAATCTTATACTTCCGGCACAGCACTAACTTCATACACTTCAAGACAGTATGTAGATTGGGGTACTTACTGTCCAAAACTTGATAAAGTACTGTAAATCTGTTGCAGCAATGAAAAGGCAATACACTAGCGAGTAAGCCAAGAAGAGAAGAAAAAATTTGTAATTGGAGAATCCTACACAGTTGTTCACCCTGATTAAAAAAAAAAGTAGAAGTAAAAATCGAATATCACGAAAGTTATTTTCTTTTGCTTTCATCCAATTTAAATTATTTGCTCTAAAAAAAGTTAATATCAGCATGTAAACCAAGTTTTGCATCCTATTTCTGCTGCCCCAAGCTACTGAAATGGATTAAGTTTCAATTCTCAAATTACTGTAGTAGTTCTAACCCAAAGCAAAATAACAACACCACCAGAAAAAGCCCAAAGAACTTTACCAGATAACACTGCTTTCAACAGCTTACTGAAATTAAATTTTCTCTTATGGCATGAAATCTGTTCCCAGCACATCTGATGTAAATGTGATTGCAGTTAGAGCTAATTTTTTAGTTTGCAGGTAAGTATCCATGTTATACCATTAGGCATACTGCATGTCAACTGGGACAGTAACAAGCCAAGAATTTGAATCTCGACTGAGTTTTGTGAAAATAAAAGCAGTCTCATTTAATCCACATCCTCCTTCATTCATTACACTACATATTAAAACTTCTTAGTATGATTCTCAAACTTAAGAGCATTCATAGGCAATTCCTAAAAGTATTTACATTTACATAAAAAAATGAGAGAAATACTAGTCTTAAATAGACAGAAAACATTTCATATCAGGAAATACACATTTCATGACAGGAAACAAAAGACATTAGAAACATGCAAATACACATCCAAATGTTAAAATAAATCTCATTTTATCATTTTTACTCATGGGATTTAAGTTCACCTGTCTCCCATTTGTGAAGATTTTATAAACAATAATGAGCAACTAGTGTACATTATGATGATGAGGTTACATTTAGTACCATGGCAGCTTCCCAACAGAGACAACATATTAAGTATTATGGATTTCAGAGCTCTATTAAACATGTAATGATATTATATCCACCAAATGAAAAAATATCGGAGTGCTGCCCACAGGCAGTCTATTGGCAAACCACTTCCTCTTTTATTTGGTTGCATTAAGAAGCTAATCGAAGTTATCTTAGCACTAACTTCGACAGAATTCTTCAAATGAGTTTAAAAAAATAATTCCATATACCTTAACTAACTGATACTGCTGTCAAAAAGATCAGCTAATTAAGAGAAGATTACACCCACAAGAGCACTTGTATATTGAAAAAAAAATCTCAAAAAAATATGTGGCAAGTCTCAACTTCAGCTTCTAGAAGTACAGGACACGTTATTGTAACTGTTCTCTTCTCTAGGGAGACAGCGATGCTAATGGTAGAATACATGCTAATGAGATAAAGGTAAAATCTTAAAACACTAAATAAATTTACACTGTACAGTACTGTTATTCATTCTCAGAGTGGATAGGGAGTTTGTTATAAGTTTTGTTTTGACAAAACATGCCACGTTGGGTAAACATTACATTGAGCATTATCATTTAAACATGCAGCACTAGCTATGCATCTGCATTAACTACAATTAAGGACTCAAAACACATTGTTCTAATAAAAAAAAAAGAAGATATATTTCTAAGCTCATCATGCAGTGAAGTGGTTTTTTTTCCATTAAATACATCAAAGTAGGCAATTCCATGATAAACTGCAACCAATTCAAACTCAAGGTTTCTCTGATAACCCTGTTTTCCTTTCACGATATTTATTTTAGGACCGTTTTTCCTTTGAGGCATTGTTTAGCGTGAGGAAAAAAAATATCAAGTGAAATTTTATTCCCCAAAGATGAAGTTTCTTGAATCAGATTTCTTTATCGCTGTTCTTTTGCACTATGGCATGCAGTACACACGTCAAATTGTATAAATTTTTATGCTCCCTTCAATTCTGGCAAAGCCCCAGACTGTGGAATTCTAACTGGAAGAGAACACTTTATCAGAAGATTGAAGAGAAAGTAAATACCAGGGTTTTGTAATTGTACTGCTTGAGCACGTAGTATCAGATCTTAAAACCCAAGGTTAGATTTGAAGTCTAACATTTCTGAGAAAGATTAAAACTGATAAATATACTGACAACTGGCTAAATAATGGTATGTTATTGCAGTGAAACGTTAACACAGAAGAACAGTACAGAGTAACAATTTGTATTACAGCTAACATTTTAAACACTTCATTTTGAAGTACAAAAAGAAAATACATAATTCCTGTCTCAAGAGTTAGTTTACTGAAAATGCCAGGCAAAGAAATAACTTACAATGCACTAAAGGTGATCCAACTCAGTTAACAAGAAGCATCACAGAATTCAGGAGATGCTAACTTCTATTTGGATTACTCAGGAGATAAAGGAGAAATGTTTCAAATTATTCCTAAGGTGTTCCTAATGGACCTTGTTAACATTAGTGTTATATACAAACGATATTTTTGGTGACGCCTCAAGCCATTGCATTCCCGCCTGCAGCTCCATCTGTCTATAGCGAGTAGCAGCAGCACTAGAAATCACTAATGCATCACTTAAAACTGGTGGAGTAGTTAGTGGGCAGTTAGCATTAAATATTTCCATTTATCACAGCACTTCCATTAGCACAGGAATGACAGCCAAAATAAAGCCTCCCTGCCTGAGAGCAGAAGACAGGTGACTTGGGGCTAGGACATGACTACCCCTTATTAACTCTGCCTTCCAAATGCTTCATCTTACTCCCTAGGTAATTCTTACCTGTCTTTTCTCCAGAAATTCTTCTCATAGCAGAATATTAAGTTAGAGGTAACTCTCATTACTGTTTCTCTGCTCTCCCTAAGCATCAAATGAGTTCCTTCCCCCTTCCTTCCCACACAACTTGCTCCCACCAAAAAATCCCAATATGAAAAGCAAAGCAGGACCTAATGATGTTCAGAGAGACTAAAATCCATCCATTATACTGATTTACACCCTTACTTTTGTTGGCGAGATAGCCATATATCTCCCAAAGAACCTTTGAACATGGGTCTTTACACGCAACTATAAAGCTTGATCAGCACTGGTGCAGTATTTCAAAACTTTTTTGTCTCTTCCACGTAGTTCTTTTTTTCTGGGTGAGCCAGGAACTGTGAACATCCACTCAAATTAGAAAAAATAACACAAGACAATACTTCTTTTTCTATGCTTTTCTGTTACTTGGAATACAAAAGTAACAATTCTCCATCAAGAACACATCTTTCAATTATCTTCCCCATTTGTATTTTTATTTTTTGCACCCACTGCTTATTAGATTAAAAACAATGAGAAATGTAAATACTCTCTCAAACTGGGTATGTTTATGTTGTTAGATTAAGAAGACTGCAAACAGGTAAAATAAGCAAATGCTACTGAGAGGAAAACGGAGTTTGTTTTTCTAGAAGTCTCTGCCCTAGTGAAACAACACTTCACTCCCCTTTTACAAAAAATTTAAGTGCTGTTTATGATTTACTATTTGATACAATGGATTTTTATTATGAAATTGAAGTTTACATGAAGAACATTTTCATTTAAATGTCTTAAGACAGAATAACTCAAACAATCTCAACAAGACCATACAGCTATAAGAAGTGTTTGTAATACTGAACAATAATAGTCATATTGAGACTTTTCACCAATATTTTGTCAGGAATAGCCTGACAGCTGTTTTTCTTATAGCTTTCCCTGTTTTGTTGTGGGGGTTTTTTGTTGTTGTTTTTTTTTTTAAGAAGCGCACTACTAACACTGAGCATCATCACATTTCACATGCTGATATTCCTACAGCAAAAAAACCTGTAGGAAGTAACTCTACCCTATACAGATAACTATTTCTTTCAATTGAATCTACCATGTAGATGCAAAATAAGGGGAGATTCTTAAAATCAAATTGCATTACGTCAGAGGCTGTAGTCAGGACCACGACAAATACGAAGAGACCAGCACCCCTTCTTCCCTCAGGACAGAGTCTCCTCTGCCCCAGAATTTGATTTAAGGAAGTGTCAAAACAGCTGCTTAGAAACACCTACCCATCAGTTTGTCCAATACAGGAGATTCTTCTTTTCTGATAGGTTTCATGCAGTGAAGAACTGCCACATACCACTCGATTATCTCAACTTGGACCTTACTAAACAATTATTTTAATTATTTCTGTGAGACACCTGCCAAACTGACATAAAATTAATTATGTAACCTGCCTACCCACTAGTCCCAAGGGCTGCTAAGAAAACACAGGAGAACAAAACCACTGTGCAGGCTGACATGGCAGCAAAAGAAAGGAGGGTGGGAGGGAGAGGGGAGGAAAAATGAAAGAACACAAAAAAACCGTAAAACTAAAAGAACTAACTTGCTGTTTCTGGCAAGGCCACTCCAGTTGTCCTGGGAGCTTCAGTAAAGGGAACTAGATACACCCCTGCCCTTTCATTTTTAACCTAGGGTGGCATATCATTATTCATTGCAACAAAGGCACAATAATACTCAAACTATAAAGAAAATAGCAATCCTTAAAAAGAAGTTTTTTCACTGACCAGAAGTCTACCTCATCTTTCCTGTAAAAACAGTTACCCAACTGAGAGATCTAAGAAAAATTATACACGAACTTCTTTCCATATGTCACAACTAAGAAAAGAGGACATACAGTAAATAACTCCAATGGTTCTGCAAGACCAGTAACTTCAAATAAGCATCTAACTCTAGGAATAGTGAAGCATCACCTTCACAAAAGGCCCAGCAAGAGTATATTTTATCAAAGCAGAAAGTAGGAAAAGAAAACCAATAGTACACTCACCAAGGGCAGTGATGATCCATTTTCAAAATGCATCTGAATAACCCCAACAGAATTCCAAGCATTGCAAAAAGCAAAAGAAAAAAAAAAGTCAGAAGCAGAGTTACATGTCAGATTTAAATTACTCACATAGAGATTAAGAATTACACATATTTATTGTTGTGTACCTAATCTATTTAACAAATATGTGCATTTAAATTCACATAAAACTGTTTACCTGCAAGTGAAGTGCAGATAACCTAAACTCGAAACACCTGATCTGTCACGAGCTTAGTGATTTAAGAAAATGCAATCTAGAGCTTCAACTTCAGGATTTGATTCTTATTCTGTATAGGTTTTTCAACTATTCTTTATTCTCTGACAGAGCCTTAGAAACGGAGCTAATTCAATTATTACTAAGTCATTACTAATTACTTAGTCATACAACTAAATATACTTCCAAGAATTATGGTTTGCTTTTATAGAACTATATACATATGCACACGAGGTTTTTAAGAACTTACCCTGCATGAAAAATACCAAACAGTTTTCCAATTAATCACTCTCCATTAACAAAATGTGCACATGAAAATCAGATATAATTGAAGTAAGCAAATTTTGACAAGGTAAGGACAAAATAAAGGTATTCTGCAAAATATATTAACTAATGGCATTCTGCAAATTTCATTCACATTTTATACGATAACACAAGTCACCCTTTTTCTCCAGTAAAAAGATACATGACTATTTTCCTATCTTACATTGCAACCACCATTCCATACAACACAACCAAGATCCCCCTTCTGCCTCAATTCTGTTATTCTTTCAATGCCTCTGCTGCTCTGCTGGACAAAATGGTATGTCTTCTCCACCTCACAATCATGTTGGAAGGTTTGATGCTGTATCAGCTGAAGAGTAACTGGAACAGCCTTAAAGCTAAGAATAAATCATCCTTTGAGGAAGTGTCTTCTCTCAAAGTTAGAAATTTAAAGCACTGGGGGCAAGAGTGAAGAAACGCACAGACATCCAAGCTTGCTAGAGAAAGGTCAGAGAGAACAACAGCCAAAAGAAAGATTAAATTAGAAAGCAATCAGACTTCTGGGGACTATGGATGTGAACTTCTTTTTGTGGCAGACAAACAAAATCTTCATTTTATTTCCCAGTTAGAAATGGGAGAATGTTTGGCTGTTTCTTTCTTTAAACAAAAATAACCTGCAAGGTATCCAGTGAAAAACAGGATATTAAGTTTATTACCTCAGATAAGATGTGACATCATGATTAGATTGAGATAGGTAGTGATGTTTATTCAGATTCTAATAAAAGAAGAAAATTTTTGTTTATCAGCTATTTTTGGTTACATTCTTAAAGAAAATTCATTATTATGTAAAGAATGTAGAAGACCACGTAATCCATGCTGGCATCAAGGAAGCCATCAAATGAATTGTACTAAGTTACAGACTTCCCTAGAAATAAGTAAATGAAAACTAAACCTGAAAAAAAACTAAGGGAAAAAAGCTTACCTGCCAAAATATTAAACCTGAAAAATCTACTCATAAGAAATAAAAGCTGCTGTGTTAAGGAAAAAATGGATTAATTCAGAAAACCACTTATTTAAAATATTTTCTTACTTGTCGCATACAGAACAGTGATGACAACGATCTGGTTTTACAAGATGGCATCTGTCACAGTATCTGATTGCTAAAGAAAAAAAGTTCCAAGATTAGATCTTAATGTACAGTTACACATTTTGTCACCTGAAGTCTGTGCAAAAATTAATACTAGCAGCTCAGCCCAGAAGAACCCCCCAGGAAAGCATTTCAGTATGGTCAGAAAGAGTTGCAAATACCAAAGCATTCTTTAACTACTTGCAATGCTGAATCTATCAAAGCTCAGTTTTTGCAATCTCTGCTAATCATGGGTTTTTTCTTCCAAACCCCTCAGCTCTGCAAAACAACCAACGAACCAACAAAACCCACAAAAACCTACTAGACTGGAAAAACTTTAAAGATCATTCAACATAAATAGCTGTTTTAAGCTATTGTTCTAACAGCTTTAATTTACTATATGAGATTATCTCTTGGATTTGCTTAGCTAGCCAGCATTCGCAAACTGACAATATCAGTAGGGTTAGATTAACTCTTAGTTTGGAAGAACCTTTGTTCTTGCTACTGAACAACCAACAAGTAAAACAGTAACAATTTCTTACTCTGATCTATCTATCTATATATAACATGCAGATAGTGATTCTTTTTTTATAACTATTTTTTTAACCTATGAAAAAACAAATCTGTGCGGCTAATGACTGCTACAGCCTCTTCTGCAGCTTGTTAGTATTACAAGCTACTTGTTAAAATCAATTTGAAAACATCTAGCAGGTATTGTCAATCCACTTTAAAATCCTAAACTGTACGCCACAATTTACTTTCCAACAATCTTTACGCTGAATAAATGTAGCTGCATAAAGTTACATTAAAGTTAAGTTCTTGGACCACTTTGTTATTTTATGAAGTATGAAAAGCACTTCTTCCCTTCGATCCAAACTCTTAAATTTTTTTCAATTAGTTTAGGTAGTACATCAAGACACCTGCCTTCAGTGGCCTCCAGAACACCTATTTACCTCCAGACATTGTCCGTGTATAGATAGGAAGATCCTTGGCTGCCCGTCTTAAGACTTCTTGCTGGGATTCACCTCTAGGTTCCCTCTCTAGGGATTCCTTGTCTGAATATGATAGATGAAACTGGAATAATTTTTAAAATCAAAGTAATGTTAGCAAATTCCAAGTTAAATAAGTAACTGTAGATGTGTAATGAGAAATAAATATTCATTACATGAAGATGGGTTAGCAGCAAGTACAAGGAATTACAGCAAATAACCCAGTGTTCCCAAGACAACTAATTCAGTTTATGGCAAAATTAAAAATACTTCTGATTTGGTATCAATGCAGAGATGAATGCTTCCAGAAGTATTAAGGAACTCTCTTCAAGAGGAAAATCAAGAGCTTATCATTCCCCTGAAAAGTCAGTTAATTTACTTCCGTAATACCAAATATTAGCTAGTGAATATAAGCTAGGGATGTCAGTATTTAACTGAAAAATACACTACTAATAACAGCCGAAAAGATAGCTTTATTTCTCTTCTGTCTGGCATTTTCCCTTTTATTCTTTGTCACTAGAAAGTTGCTGTTCTCGTCATGCAGGTGTCAGGATGTGTTTTTACTATAGAGACTGGCTGAGAGAAGGAAGAGACGGGTGTCCTGTATGACAGAATAACCACATCTTGAACATCTTCCTGAATAAAATGACAACTTCTGTCACTGCTCAAAATGGCAATAACAAATAAGGCTTTAGTAAGTGCTGAAAGGGTAAAAATTTCTGAAAGACATGCACAGTATACATGAAGTAGTACAAATTCCTTATGCTCTAAAGTCCTTTGCAACACAGCACCATAGCCTTGTCACTGTAGCTTCTAGAAATGGGCAGATGCCAAAGGCTTTGATATCTCCATCTCTGATATTCTCCAGAAAGAGGATACAAAATCATCTCTGAAAAAAAGTCCACATTTGGCAGGAAGAGTGGCTGTCTCTAACCTGTGCTAGAAACAGAAGCCCACTCCATAGCATTTATGTTTACAGGAAGGCTAGTCATTACAATATTGAATTTTTTCCTAAAATGAAGTGAGGCAGTAAGTAAAACTAAGGAATGAGACAAAAACATACAGTTAGGAACCTACTCTCACCACCACAGAGAAGGCACCACTCCACCCTTCCTTGCAAAGCTCACAATCTTCCAGCTGAAGCTGGAGATTCACCATTTAGCCTGAGTTTCTCAAGTCACCATTCATTTTTTTCCCTTCCAAGAACACATTCTTACCAAAAACTGATTTGATTTATATTAATGATACATACAATTTCTCACTGCAGAAACTTGGTTCAGAATACTTTTTTTTTAAATGCTGGTTGGATGTAAACAGAGCTACTACTGCACCATTTTGTATTGGTCCTCAGAGTAGTCCTAAGTTTACAAACATTCATTCCTGGGAAACCATCTTCTCTCCCACCCTTATGCAGTACTTGCATATAGCTAGTATGCACAGGTACAGAATGGCACACATACAGCAAAGTCCCTCAAAGCCTACTTTCTACGTGTGTTAAAGTTTGAAATAAGCTTAAAAGAAAGCTGTGCAGTTTGCACCAGCTACACTATTCATGAAAACAAAATGCTGAAACTGTTTTTCAGTATTCAAATGAGTTTTTGCTAGATAAGTCAGTTCAGTTCATTTGAAAAGATAATCCTTTAGTATTCACAGACTTCATCCTAGAAAATGGAAGCCAAGCAGTAACTTAACATAACAAAATACCCTAATTAAATTTTGAAAATACTGCTCTAGTAGAACAGGAAAAACACATGGAACAACAAAGATGTCACTTTCTGCCAGCAGCATTGTGTAAATTCAAATAACACAGAAACATCCCACATTGCTTTCTATTACCCAACTTCCATAACCCATCTGAAGTTCTTCATTAGTATTGTATGACAGCTTTGGAATCCTACTGTAATTAGTAGGATTTGTCAAAATGTTTTGGAAGTCTTTCATTGGCATCAGTCCAGCGCTTTGAAAACCCTTCTAATTATTGCTACAGTCACCATATACATGCACACATTTGGCTCTGTAATTACCAAATGAAATAGGCTCCTAATTTATTTTGCTCCTCCCTATCCCAAGCTGTAGTAAAGACTGCAGCGTGAACTTCAATGAAAACCGCAATTAGTTTGAATTATCTACTTGTTTCCACAACTACGTATCTTAGTGGTGAACGAAAACTATTCAGAAAAGAACCTCTACACTACAGACAGCAAGAAATCACCAGCTATTTATTTTGTGTTGACATAGTACTTAAAGCAGCTAGACTTACGAGTCCATGCTGAAGTAAGTAATGGCTTTGTGGGTATTTCAAACTACAGAGCAGCCACAGAATGATTCCTCTTGACCTTGGAGGTTGTGTGACACAGAACCTACTGAGGACTAGGGGGTTTCTGAATTAAGAGAGAATGGAAGAGGCCAAAAAGTTGTGTTGGTTGTGCTAAGCTACATGGGGAGCATTTCCATCAATAACCTTTTTTCCACGTGCCTGTTGTTTACTAGCTCCCTTCCTGCTTAGCCAGCTGTGGCTTCCCAGCATCAGCTTACCCAGTGTGCACTCCCACCACAACCCACAAGTTCCTTTATACCAGAATACATGGGGAAGAATCTTTAATTCAGAGGACTGCAGACAGATGCTGGCAGAAAATATAAGTCTCAAACACAGGGAAATAAAATTTTGCCCACATAAAAGTCTGATATTCCCATGCAAAAATTTAAACTAGTAGTTCAAATAACTCACATTTTTCAAGTGGACAGGATTTTTTCTTCTTAATATCATAAGTAGCTCATTTTAAAATATCTATTAAAAACTTTAAAACTTAGAGAAGGTGTTTTTTTTTTGTCTTGGTCACTACGTTCATTGCAATCTGATTCACTCCTATTAAGAAGCTGTGTAACTATCATCTGTGTTTTTCTACACAGTGTAAGACTACATGAGATCAGAGACTAAGTTATTCAAATACTACAGAATCAGGCATTTAACTAGGCTATTTCAAAAACAAAAGTTAAGTTTATCTTACTTCTTTTGAAGGATTCATTGGTAGCGTAAAGATTGTTTTCCAATACGACCAGACGAACAGCATGAAAAATATGTGATAAGCAACCAGGCACACAACTAAAATTAAAAAGGAACAGAATTAATACAAACAGACCAGTGATACTGTAGTACTTACAAACAGCTCTGCAAAAGCTTTGCAACAAAAATACAGCACTGCAACTTTACATTAGACAAATACACACTCGGTGGGGAAGGTCATGATACAGTCTACATAGATTACAAAAATTTGAGGGAAATGGGCCCATTAAAGCCGCATAATTATTTAGCAAGCACTCTCTCTTTACACATTTGTTAAATCCTAATTAATTGATGCATCTCTGCCGTTTAGCTTTATAAACCATGCAGGGAGACTGCTAACCATGCAAACACCCCCTCTCCCCAAAACGTCCCAGCCCCCTGCCAAAGGAAGTATAGTTATCTAAACAATGACAAGAGTGAGGGGAGTCTTGGGGTGGATACACACAGGATACCTGAGCAGTAACTATAACCAGTTAATTTGTTTTGCTAGATTTTAGGAGGGAGGACTGTTGGGTGGTTTTTACAAACCTGCAGTTCCTTTAAATTAAAATGTTCATTCACTACTTTTTGTTCTTCACAGACAGTGATTATTCTTATATTTTTAACAGATGCCAGTGAGCATTTATCATGCTGAATTGTTTTACTAGAAAACAGAAGGCAACATTAACTTTTCCTAAGAGCTTGCCATGGATGGATAGGTATTTCTTCTTAAAATCTCTCACTGTACTAAGAAATTCACTACAGTAAATAGCATATCCAAAACTCATATCCCCTAATTAACTTACTCCAAAGACAGGAAAGAGTATTTTTCTATAAATTCATAAGATCATTAAAAAACATAAAGGGAAACCTGTGTACTTTAACTACACAATCTGAAATATTGCTCTTGTATGGTTAGCTCATGGGGGGTTTTTTGTATGTAATACTATTCAGTGCTAAATAAATTTCTATTAGACATGCATGATGGTGTATATAAATGCAGGAACAATTGCTCAGAATGATCTTATTTTTTGTAATTTTGCCTCAATAGTAACACTGAATAAATATTTCTGGTGTTGAAGTTTGTTTATTCAAAAAACAGAAACATTGTAAATATTTACTCTTAATCACTAAGCAGTAAAAATAATAAAAAAACCCTAAGAAAATCTAAGGAGCAACTCTGTACAGAGCTTTAGGGATGACAGGGGAAAAGAGCCATATGCCAAGTCTATAAACTGAAAGAAAAATCTCATCAGCATAAGTAAGTGATAGAACTGGACTCCAGACAAAGAACAATACACTAAAAGACTAACTTGCTATTGCACAAGCTTCTGGACAGGAACAGTCCACATTTGTATCAGAACATTTCTATCAACTATAAAAAACCCTGATTTACTCAAACAAAATCAGTATTTTTTTAAATAATAGTATATTCAAGGCATACAGTGCAAGCAAGGTAAGCAAGTTACCTCAGTTCTGTACACGATGCATTTACTAATCTGCATCAGTATTCTATTGTTGTGAGAAAAACAACAATTGTGATTGATAAGAAAATTGTTCATACATTAAAGGAAAAAAAGAAAAGACTACTGAAGGAAGATGAAAGTTTAGCCTAAGGACATTATCCCAAGACTCCCCTTTAAAGACTGCACAAGACTCGAGTTCATCTTGTTTGATCTTGAACCTCAGTTCTCCAACCTGGCCAAGGTCCCGACTGGTCACTCCTCTCAGGTTATCTACCCACCAGTTTCTCTGCACTGCGACGGAGACCCTGGGCTACCCACTGCTCCACTGGGTCTGTTGAGAGTCCAACATAAAACCTAATTTCCCTTGAGACAATGAAAGAAGAGCTCTCTGCATCTCCCTGGCAGAAATCCTTCTATTTCACAGTTTTTCTGAATCACCCCCCCAAAAAACCCCAACCCAAATGGTGTATCCCTTGCATGAAGGCAATCCATCTACAAATAGCTAGCATAGCTAGAGTTGTCTGGAGATCTGAGGCAACCTGTAGTAGGGCTGAGCCCCATTTGCCCAGTTTTCACCCTGGAAAAAACTTAGGGCAGAAGTATAAGCCAGGGTAAATTTGTCTTGACTGGCTGAACCTGACCAAGGCTTTGCATGAAAATTTAATGTTCTCCAATGCATTTTGCTGATAATTCTAATGTGTTTTGTGAGCAATGCATAACAACACACTTGTGTCCCCTCACACACAGCATGGAGCAGCAAGAAACTGGAATTACTTCGAAGTCTGCAGGTGCTGAAATTTGCAGATACGCTTATGCACTCATATGCGTGGAAAGATCACTGAACTGAAGAAAGTTTTTCAAGCAAATGTTTCTTAATTGACAAACACTTTTTCTAAGTGAGGGAGTTGCCAACGACTTGATAAAATATGCTGGAATTACACAAACATAAAAAGCATAACGTTTATCTCTTAACTCTTAACCCCTTCCTCCAAAAGCTCCGCAGCCCCACACTTTACATTTCCATGCTGTGCCGTAGTAGTAAAATAGCATCTGGAAAAGTAATCTAAACATGTCACAGCCTCAGGGTAGGAACTGTAGGAACTGCAAATAAGGCAGTTTTATTATATTCTGAAAAGGCTACATGTCCAAAGGATTTTGTTTCTTTGAAGACACTGGCTAAAAAGAAACTACAGGAAAAATTTACCTCCCATTTAAATACGTTGCATCTGCACCAACATCCTGTTCATAGCTAGAAGTCCTGCTTTTACAAGAACTTTCTGTGCTATGAACACTTTTTTTAAAAAAACAGAATATAAGGCTTATTTTAGTTGACACATCAGAAAGCCAGTAGGAACAGCAAAAATTTTTTCTCATCTTTATTTGTAATGGCTAAAGCAATATTCAGGAATAGCAGGATAATAAAAGGAGCTGAGGAACACCAAAACTATACTTATTTAAAACTAGTTAGATTCATATCTTAATTCTACTAGTAAACTACAATTCTACCCAGATATATGAATTCCACTTATAAACAGATAATAAAAATCTTACCTTTTTCTCCAATATTTGTCATTGTCACTAAAAAAAGATAAAAAAGGAAATAGTAAAAATTATGCTTAAATAGCAAATTATGTAACTGAATATTTAAACTTTTTTTTTTAATCAAAGAGGGAAGTGTAATCATCAAACAATACATGTTTAATATCACACACTATCAAGATTTTATGCTGTGTACATTCATTACATGAATAGGTACAGAATACCAACTGCTTATAATGTTTTTTTGGCTCCTATTCCCAGGCTCATTTCTTGAGAACTAGTACCTCCATCTATCTGAAGCTGCCCAAATTTAATCCAAGATAAGCCACCCCTGCAGACCAGTTATTTCTTTAACTATGGTTGTACAAGTTTCACTGTTTATCTGGGTTCTATTCTTGAAGTGGAGGTATCAGACTCCAGAACTGGTTTTGACAGCAATACTTGGTGATACCTTAGATCTTCAAAGCATAAAAATTTAAAGTACACAGAAGTTGCATTTAGTTTAAGAATTTGCCCGTGGATTACAAGATTTAGGGATAGTAAAAGAGTGAGAAAGATGCAAGTATGTCAGGCATGGAGTGGAGTACACAAGTATCACACATCAGTCACTGCACTTTCCACTCTTGATCACATTATTTCAAAAACGTAGCCATCCTGCAACAGGTATCTCAGTAAAATCAAAAACTCCCAAGTGATCAAAACTTCTTTCCACTCCAATCACTCCACCATACTTTTATCCATCCTAGTTAAGCAGTCTAAAAACTATAATATACTGGCACCTACAACTATATGGATCTCTCACCCACCCCTGTTTTCCTAATAAAAATGGTTGCACAAGCCTGGTCTTCAACAAGCAGGCACAAGGCAACTCCTACTGAAAGGCCAAGCAGTCATGCCATCTGACTGATACATTAAACTCAGGCTTGTTAACGGAATATAAGTCCCTACTTAAATATATCTCGCACGTTGCAAGGATGTACCATGAAACTAGTGCTGTTCAACACCTTAACTAATGCTCTGGAGGAGTGAACACTTATCAAGTTTGTAGATGACGGCACCCTGGGCATACCAGCTGGTATGCGCAGGACTGCCATCCAGAGGACCCAGACAGGCTGGGTAAATGGCCCAATTGGACCCTTATGAAATTCAGCCAGGGCAAAGGCAAAGCCCTGCACCTATAAAGAAACAACCCCCAGAAACAACACAGCCTGGAGACTGCTGGGCTGGAGCAGCTCTGTGGAAGAGGCTGTGGAGATGCTGGTGGGCAGTACTTAGACAGCAGAGAGGGCTACCAGCCTCCCAGGCTGCATTAGCAGGGGCACAGCTGGTCAGTCAAGGAAAGGGATTATTCCCTTCTGTGCAGCACTCATTAGACCCCACCCAGAACATTGTAGGGCTTTGGGCCCCCCAGTACAACAAACAGACAAGTCCAGGGGGAAGCAACCAAGCTGGCAGGGACAAGACCAGTCATCCTCTAAACAGAGGCTGCATAGCCAGGGCTTGTCAGCCTGGAGAAGGGTTTTGGGAGGGCCTAACAGTACCTCCAGGAAGGCATCGAGGAGGTGGAGTTGGGCTCTTCATACTGGCGCGGTGTGGGAGAACAAAAGCCAGTAGGTGTTAAGTTGAAATGAAAGGATCACATGTGACACAAGGAAAAACTTCTTCACCATGAGAACAATCCATCAGTGCGGGAAGCTGCCCAGATATGTTGTACAGCCTCCATCACTGAAATTTTTCAAGACTCAAACTGATTAAAACCCTGAACGACTTGCAATGACCTCACATCTAACCCTGCTTTGATTAGCAGGTTGGACTAGATAAGCTTAGGTCCTCTCAAACAAGAATTATTCTACAACGTTGTAATTATAAAATAGGTCTATTAAAATGGAGATATGGCTATAGCTCTGCCAAAACAAGCATCTACTTTTACCTGAGGGAAAACAGTAAGCAACCATGTTTATAAAGCTCTTCACAAAAATCAGAAAGACACCACCGAAGTCGCATAAGCCACTATAAATTCTATTCTGCTCTCAGTTTTCTGAAATATTTAGAACTTGATAAGCTAAATATCCATCTAGACAACTGTTAGAGAGAAGCTGTGGGAACATGTATACACATTTGACTCTAAGCAACAGAGAAGGTCCACTACAATAATGCACAGGAACTGTGAAATTGCAAATAAACAGTAATCCACCAGATGACTGTTTACAAAACAAAAGACATCCTTAGAGCTGATGTGTAATTTAAAAGTGCTGGAGCTCTCAGAGGAGGACAAATTAGCCACTACTCAAATTCTGATTTTCTTTCTCCACTTGGCATGGTCAGCAAAGTGTGCAGAAACTTTGACAGTCTTCTTGGAATAACTACTCTCTGTTAATTAAAAAGCCCTTGCCAAGCATATATTGCAGAATCACCAGTTTCAAAATAAAATCTATTTAACCAACCTTCACAATGATATGTGGTATTTTTCTCTCCTTACAAGGGAATGACATAGAATATTGTTGTGAAAGCAGTTGTAATCTTTTTTCCACCCCTTATCTTTGGATAAAATGTATTTATCAATGTCTTTGAGGCATCTAAATTTTTCACATGCTTGTAGGTAAAGGGCAGATACAAGTAATAAATCCAAATTTAATAATATCTACTGGACAGCAAACCGACAGCTTTTCAAAATTTCTGTCCACCTCTGGAAGGAAATGCATACTTCAGAGTCTGCATCTGCTCAGAGGACTGTCTTTTCAGCTTTTGTGGTATCTAGCTTGGAAATGTTCCTGACAGTCAGGACCACAAAGGCTAAAACACAAGTGCCCAGAGACATCCAGCTAATCTCAGCAGGGTGAGAACATGGGTTTTTTTGAGAAATCTTGTCATTTTAATCTCTTTTACCACCTGAGTATAACTCAAGAGTTATTTCATACACTCCTAACTTGCAACTACTTTAAGAGACCAAAGCAGAAGAGGTAAGGCTGAAAAGAGATGCCAGTACCTTCAGTCTTACTATTTTTTTTCTTTACACATACTGCAACTGGTGTGTACAAGGACATTGGCTGCATTGCCAAACAAGCATTCTCGCAGATGGTGACACAGAGGAACATGCAAGATATCCAATAACCTGTATGAGGTGAAGTACTATTCCTTCTGCTTACGCCTTTAAATCACCTTTGATGAAAGTTCCCTGAAGGAGGTGGGAAAGTAATGGACAAGCATCTGCAATACCAAAGCACCAGAGAGGAAATGAAAGGGTTTTTTTTTTTTGTTTGGTTTATCTTTTGGGTTGTTTGGTTTTGGAGTTTGTTGGTTGGTTGTTTTGCACAAATGTGACAGAACTGACCAGCAGGAAGAAAAAAAAATATTGCTCTTAGAAATCAAACTCTCTCAAATTTCTCTAAAAAATAAATTTTCTCTATTTGTTGATTGAAGGTGATACAAAGTTCTTAGGGTAACCACAAGATGTTTATAATTCTAAAATCACACTATTTAAGTGCATGGAAAATAATTTTCTGACATGAAAAATGCCACTCTAATTTTGGTTTGATCAAAGAAATGTTTGTTATTTTCCCCATCCTCTAAACAGCACCCATGATGTATTTATTTAAATCAAATATTTTACTTTTCATTAGATTCAGTGATACAGTTTTACTATATTATTCAACAGTATTTGATCATATAGTCTTCCCTGAATCATTTATATCAGTATTTCCGGCAGTTTTCTCATTTCTCTTCCAAGGAGTTACATTCACTGTGGTAGTGCACAGAAAAGTAGGTCAGACTGTGCAACCCGTCATTAATAAATATCAGCTGAAATGCTGCAAATGCATTTACTGGTAGTCAAATAGCACAGAAATAATATGGGTAAAAAGCATTTATGTCTATGATGACTAAAATAAACACTAAGGACATGGCAATCCCAACTGTTAAGCAATTTCTGGAAGAAAACAGGGTAAAACCCTTTGGGACCAAAATGGAATGATACTCCTGTATATTCAGAGATGGAAATAATTATAAAACCATGACCTATCTTCAAGAGATCATTAAGAAGTTACAGTTTTGTTCGTCTGAGATACTGCAGGGGCCAATTTCATTAAGAATCATCCTTCCCCTGCTAAAGCATCAGGATGCCATTTACAGTTCAGTACTAGCAGACTATCACACCATTAGAGCCTCTCCGGATAATTATGCAGCTTGCAGATGGTGCTCATCAGAATTAGGGACCAGGTTGGGACAGACGCAGGACTTCAGCCAACATAGATGCCAATTTCCTGAGCCAGAAACATCGTTCCCTGCTTGTCCTGAGCCACAAGCAGCCAGAAACAAGAACAGCACATTCAGCAGTCAATGCTGCTAAACAGCCTGCACTTGCAAAACAACAATTGCAAAGAAAACAAAGCTGTGTTACAAAAGATCGGAAAAAGTCCAGGATGGTTTCCATCACCAAATTAGTTTGCTAAGAAGAGAGGTCATACTGCTAGCACCTTGCACTGCATCAGATCTTAATTAAGTGACAGAAATGGATTCTCTGTTTCTTGAACTACTGTTCATTTTCTCTAGGAATGTTTATTCTCACTCACTTGTGGAAAAATTAAGTAAACATCCATGTCCATACAGCTAGAGACATGGTAAAACACAATGCTACCAAAAAATCCAAAAGAGTTTGGAAGATAAAATTAATGTAAAAAATTTGCACTGGTTTTGTAACATTAAATTTTGCTTGACTTCTAAACCCAAAATCAAAGTTCCTGAACTGTAAATGTAATGATTAGATTTCAAAAAAAAAAAAGGAGGGGGGAGAAAGCAATTAATTTTTTAAAGCTTCAATGAAAGTGGATATACAAAATCTTGCTTTCATATTTTATATATATGTTTAAAATATTTAAAACTTTGGAGTGGGAAAATAACACACACCTGATTCAGAGACTCTGCAGCCACATCTATAAATAGGTTCTTTTCTCAAACTTTTATGAAGTTTAACATCTTGGATCTGATTCACAAAACTAAGTACATATTTTATCTTTATAGCATGTTTGAAGCTGTAAAACACTGATCTATAGATGCAGTTTAACTCAGCTCTGTGCACACATAAAAGTGTTTTATAGTTGTGACAAATGTTCTGTCATTGCCTGCAACAGTCCTTTAGAAAAAATATCACTGCTTGCAATAAAAACCTACCTCTCTGCTAGACAGAGCAGTGATTTGCACTGATTCAGAGTGACAACATGCCACCAGTGCTTTGCTTCAGAACAAAAGTAACAGAAGTATTTCTGGGATATTTAAGGTTGGTATAAATAGCTATTAATACCCCATCAATAACCCATATATTTGGATTTGATGGCATCTGTGAACGTTTCAGTAAACTCATTTTAACCCTGTGCCCATCAAACTGCATCACCATCTGCCACCCAGCAGCAAGCTGCTATTTGGTACCTTTGTAGATAAGGTCACAAAACCATGTCATTTGAATAGAGCATCACTACGAACTGACTTAATCTTCTTTACAAACTTCCCATTTTCGTTTCAAGTCACAAGGACTGACTGAAGAGTGAAGACTATTTCTAGCAATGTTGTAGAGTCAGATCCTTTTCAGCAAAAACAAAGTACCCCCTGACAAGAGCATCTATTAAAGTATCTATCAAGCAGTGTTAAATCTTTAATTGAAAGCATAATCTTATCTAATAATTATATCTTCACCATAGACCTTCAGGCCATGGTTTAAATTTCAAGGCACAAAACCTATAGGTAATACACCAGGCACTACATGGAGAAATAATCAGCCATGCTTAACATAGATTTCAATTCCATTTCAGAAGTGGTCAATGGCAGCTGCACAGGAGCACTGCTGGATATACTTCAGAAGCCAATTTTACTTCAGCTGCCAGTTTTGAAACTTTTCTCAAAGTACCCAGGGATCGCCAAAGAGGGAAAAAAAGTGGTATTTGCAAAATATGGAATAAAAATGCAAACTTTCCTTGAACAAAGTTCTTTTCTACCTTAGCAGCCAATGTACAGACAGGGTATTTAACTGGTTTTTGACAACAGCCAACTGCAATGTTACAATGTACTTGTATTTCTATAGCCAAAGGTAAGATGTAGATGGTTACAAGACAAAAGTTGCAAGTACCATAAATCCTTTAATTCATCTGAAGATCATACTCAGCAAAGAGCTCAAATCCAGCAGACCAAATTGTGGGTCTGACTTCCCCCCCCTTTTTTATTTTACCTCTTATGAGCTTTTATCTCCATATTTTCTACCACTTCTTATTCCCTGATGACCCTATGCCAACCCCACAGGGCACATATTAATCCTGCCTCTAAACTGTGATGAATTAAGCAGCTTTTTATCCTGTTATAATTCCATTCCACTGATGGTACACTGATGGTCAAAAACCTCAAATCAGCACTAATCAATTTGATCCTCCAGCAAAACTTTTTCATGATCATTAACATCTTCAACATCTGGATGTCATTCCACATTTTCTGTTCCATTCTGAAGGTAGCTGTGGACAGATACAAGTTACATACTCTACTCCAAAAACAAAGACGTGGCTTATGAGCTTTCCTGACAGTACTGTGAATGTCTTCTTGTACCCCCTCTTCAGATGTGCTTAAGTCACTCTTTTCCAAATCAGGCAAATCATTCACCAGGTGGCAATACTTCCTCCCTTTCCCTTCAGTGAAGTAGTCAGGAAATGCTTAGTGCTCATTTCTTCCACAGCAAATCCGTTTTCCTTCTTTAAAATTACAAATTCAAGCTACGTTTTCAGACAGATTCCCTGAGCAAGAGCATAATCCTTAGAATTAAAAATCAGTGACATGTAAAACATATACATATACATCCATATTCTATTTATAAGATAACCCTTCCATGAGTTCAGTTGATATTTTCACTAAAAACATGTCACAGCACTGTCAAATTTTTACATTTTCCTTCTTATGTGCACATCCAAATCACAAACTGGCAGGAAAACAGAACCAAACCCAAACAAAACAAATAAACAAAACAAAATTAAAAAAGCATCTCAGTATCCAAGTTTGTAACAAACATTTCTGACAAACAACTATCAGAAACTGCAAATGACTACTGGTTCTGCCTTACCTAAAGCATGGAGTGGACAACTACTTCAAGGCCCTTATACTACTACAAAACCGAGTGAGAGATGCATCTAAGAAGGAAGACGTAAGAACAATTCTTTTCTTTGCATATGAAACATGCAAAGATTTTAATAAACACCAAATTTTCATGTTTGGGTTTTGAGAAACACTGAATCTAATGTGTATTTTCTGAGTATAGACACATGGATGAGGTGCTGGGGGAAAGAACTCCATTTAAACTTCATGATAGAATTGTTCCATATATCCTAGGTGGAAATTTCAGTAAGTTTAGTTATCAGAGTTCATTGTACTCTTTGTAGGTTGCCTGTATTTCCTCATCTTTTTTAGAGGAAGAACAAGTCTGTATCCCTCAGGTTCTCATAAACACATTCAAATATTTTTTAAGAGAAGGAATACTTAAGAAGGTATTTGAATGAAAAAAACAACTACTATTGCCAGACAGGGGTTGGGAGATGACAATACTGGCAAAGTTAAGAGAATGGTACTGGAATAGAGAGAAGCAATTTTTAGTCAGGTGTTTTAAGACCAATTAATTTACACATTTAATTCCAGTATTCTATAACAGGAAGAAGAGAAACATTTGCTAGCGTTCAACACCTTTCTCCTTTTCCTTAAAGGTTAAAACAGCATGAGCACTTAACTGAATCCATTAATAAAAGAGACAGACATGGTAATACTACAGTTAAAAACAGTGAATTTCTTTTGCTATTCCCAAACCCTTTTTCAATTCCTAAAATGCTTTTCAATGCTGTAACTATTCAGCTTTAGGGATGAAAGAAATCAGAGTAGTAGACTTTTTTTTAAAAAAATATCATTTTCCTCCTACAATGCTCAGATTAAAATTGCAGAAAAATCCCTCATTCAAAATACTACATTTGAAACACTACTAAAAGCTCAAATTAGCTCATTACTAAAAGCTCAAATAAACCACTTAAAACAGTGCAAAGTCCTTGCTAAGTCCTACTGCACAATCGTTAACACTGTTCCCTGCATGTTGTCATTAGCGTCAATGACAGTAAGCTGCAGGGAAAAAAAGCAGCTATATACGTCCTCTTTAGCATTCAGTGCTGCAGGAATAAAAGATGCACTGAGCAGACAGGCTGGCTTCAAAGCACTGAAATGCTTACAGTCTATTCCTGCCGTTGGCTTTCATTCCCAGAGTTGTTAGTTATTCCTTCTGTTGTTTACACTAAATATTCATTAGTAAGACAAGACATAAGTTTATTTTATCTTAATATGCCAAAAATGAGGGAAAGCATCCAGATACAGATAAAAGATGGAATTAGCGGAAGTTGTAGATGACTATTAGGCTGAATTCAAAAACTGGTAAGACAGGCAGAATGGGAAAGGGGTGGTAGTGGGGGAAACTGAAAAAAAAAGAAAAAAAAAATCACCCTTATCCATAGAAAGGAATTCGGGGAAAAAATGTTTTAGCAGAGGCCCAGGATTCTCTCTTCCTCCTCTCCCATTGCAGACCTTATGCTTTGAGGGGTTTTCAAGGAATTAGGGTACCATAGTTTTCAGTTTGAAGCATGTTTCAAGCATGTCATTTCCTTAAGACAAAAGCTTACACGCTTTCAGGTAAGCTAAAACCCAATCTTCCTCTGTTATACAGAATTACGCAGTAGAAAAAATACAGTTCATCACTGAAACAGTAATGCCCAAAACAAGCCTCCTGTACCTACTACAGGGCTGCATACACTAGGACAAATGTTAACTACAGAGCAACTTTCCCCTTAAACATCCTCTCCCTCGTCATGCCAGCTAACAGCTCCTCTCTCCAAGCTCACTCAGTCAACTTCTCCCAGAACCCTGCAGACAATTCACCTCCTTGCACTGGAGGTAGACACTGCATTCTTCCTCTCGGGAGGGCACAGCAACTCTAGCTGAAGAATGGTGCTCAGAATTAACAGATACGAATATTATTAAGGAAAAAAAAAAAGATGCAAAAAGCCAACCTTCAATACAGGAACCACACCAAGTCTTCATACTTCCCTCCAAAACAGAGGCGCTAGGCCTGGCAATCATTTTTTGCTTAGTCCCTCAACTGCTCAGCCAAGCATGTATAGGAAAAAAATCCTATCAATCTTCTATATACAATAAAAAAAATAAAATCAAAATTATGTACCAGACTGCTGAGATTTTCAAGATGAATAGTTGAAGACTTACAACTCATATTCCTTTATGCCATTATTTTAACACTGTTAGTGAAACATCAGTATACCACACACTAGCCCCTAAAATTAAAAGATTCAATTGTTTTCTACAAGATACACTATAAGAGAAGTCAAAATCAGAAAAAAACCCAACCCCAAACCCAAAAACCAAGGGAGCCTGGCAAGCTGGTTGTTTAATAAAGCCCTCTGGCTTGGCTACTCAAATTTACACAAATACTCATATCACACCCAGTCTCCAGTATGTGATTAATGATTTGCCTGACACTGAGGAACAGGTGCCAAGGTGCGTGGTCAGAATGACTTCCGAATGACATGCAGGCTGCCGATGCCACAGAAGGGACCAAGAAGTTGTGACAGCCGGGCATTTTCTAGATGACTGAAGAGCGGCACGGGGCGACTCGCGGATTTCCTGTTACCTGTTCCTGCTTCCACGCCGGCTGACAAATGGCCCTCACACATTACATGTACGTGTATGTATGTGCACTGTGTGTCTGTGTACAGGCTGTCACGCCGAATAGACGGCGAACTCTGCTCAGCCACCCGCATGGTCAGACGCCGCTTCCCATGTCCGGGGTTGGGACCAGTCACCCGCTGCGCACTCCACGGAGGGAAACTCGCGCCCGTGAAAAGCCCCGTGCGACCGGATCCCTCCTCGCTTGGGATACCCAGGCGCTACCAGGTCGCGGAAAGAACCAGGCGGAGTGGATGCCCCTCGTCCGAGCGGCCGGGACGCGAGGGGGTCCAGCCCAGTCCAGCCCGGCCCGTTGCCTGCCCCAGCCCCAGCCCCAATCCCAGTCCCTGCCCCGGTCCCGGCCCGGCCCGGGGGCGTGGCGGCGGCGGCGGCAGCACCCGGGGGCGGCCCCGGCCCCGACACCGCCGCAGCCCGTGTCCGTCCCGCCGGCTGTGCTCCTCCGGCAGGGGCGGCGGCGCCCAATCCCATCCCGCCGCGCCCCCCGCCCGCCGCGGCACTCACGCAGGCAGAGCTGGGTGACATAGGCGTAGTAGGACCAGCAGAGGATGCTGGAGATGAAGAGCACTGGCACCCAGTAGAGCAGCCGCTGGCAGCGCCGCCGCACGCCGCCCCAAGCGCCCGGCGCCCCGGCTGCCGACGGCGGCGGCGGGGCCGCCATCTTCCCGCACCGCATCCCGGCCGCTCGCTCCGGGGGCCCGGGCCCCGGCCGCGCTGCCCGCCGGAGCCCGCCCCGGCCCCTCCCTCCCCGCCAGGGCCGCTCCGCCCACCGCCCGCCGCTCCCCCCGGCCCGGACAGGGCGGCAGGGAAGAGCCGCCTGGGAGCCCACAGCGTCCCCGCGGGGTCCGACTGGCTCCGCCGGGCCGGGGGGCACGGCCGGGAAGTTCGGGCCGGGCGCGGAGCGGCCCCGCCCGGTCAGGGCGCGGGTCGTGCCCGGGGCGGCCGCCACGTGTAGGGACACTGGGCCAGGAAGTGCCCCGTACCCGGAGCAGCATCTCCGGGCTTTATCCGCCTCGGAAACAGGGATTGCGACGCTTCACCGCGCCCTGCAAACGCTTTAAAACACCTCGTTAGGAAAAGTGCTGCCTCATTTGCAAATAACGTTTCAAAGTATTGTATAATGAAAAACAAGTGCTGCGGGCTGCGGTGCCATGGCAAGCAACAGGCTGTGCGAGGCCGAGGTGACCAGACCCGCTCTTGGCGGCTGCTCGGCCGGGGGAAGGTAGAGCGTAGGGTTCTGCTGACTCACTCTGCCCCGAAAAGACTTTACTTTCTGGCCATCGTAATGAAACGCTCGTGAGGTGTCACAATAAACCCAGCCGGCGTTGCAGTATGTGCACCCAAATTGTTGCTGAATTATCATTGCAAAATTGAAAATACCAAGCACGGGCCGTAGTGTTTCTGCAATCTGATAGAACCTTACAGAGCATCGTCAGCACAGTAGGTAGGAAGGAGCTGGTTGATTAAAATGTGTTTTGAAAAAAGGCTTGTCTGGTATCTCACACAGGAGACTACACATGAAGCTAAGTAATCACAATCTGGAAGGCATTCAACTGCTATTGATTTAGGAACAGGCTACGAGAGAAGAAAATAATATTAGAGAAAATATGACAAACCCAATAGTAGGTGCGCTGTCAGGTTTCAGAGTATGAAATGGAGTAGCTAGCATGTTTGTTGAAGACACAGAAGTTGACCATATGGCTGCAGTTTTTTTATAGGATGAAAAATCATGCACCCCTCATTATTGTAAGATCAATCAGAGAAATTTCAGTTAGCCACAGTGAACGGGGTGAATGGCCAATGCAGGATGATGTATCGAGAGGAATAATACATATCCCATGGCAGTAAATTATCTTTGCCTGTTCAAGAGAAAGACTTGTATATCATTGTGAAGGGCTCAGTGAAACCATCTCCTCAATGTATGGTTATTATGGTAGAGAAAAGAATGAAATATGCCATCAAAAGACTGGAATATAATAATTTAAGAAAAGATTCTGCATAATGGGGAATTATGTATTTTACATTAAAAAGGTAAAGATATAGTGAATGTTGCTAAAAACATACATTTGATATTCCTACATATTATATTTCACAAAACAAGAGGAAAGGGAGCAAAACCAACATGACATAGACAATAAAAGCACTTTATTTTTAATTAATTATGCAAGTCATCACTTAGACCAGCATTTTAATAGAGCATTCAAAGTATTTGACTTTACTATGTTTTAATGCAAACATCCATGGTTATTCAAAACACATTTTAAAAGCATAAGGAATAAGGTTACCAGTGCCTGAAGCACACCCAATGCTTTAATGGCAAAAGTTAAAAGAAATGAAGGCAATTTAATTAATTTGATGGCTTTTTGAACTTATTTGGAAATACATGACAGTGACTTCTCTCAGGTACCAAGGATAATGCATCTATTGTGTTGTGTGTTTGCAGGGAGACGTGAGTGCACCATGAGAAGTTCGCAGCTGGATGTTGTATATGTGAAGTAGATTTTGCATCGTTCTTGGGGGGTATGAAAGACTTCTTCCTATAAACACTTTTAAAATGCTGTATATGATATGGGGTTTATTAACAACAACACATGCCAGGGAAACAGTAAAAATTAGAGAAAACTTTATAACATAATTTATTCATTGAAGCCATAGTTATTATACAAAATTATGCATATAGAAAGGTGGCAGTCTGCCAGAGGTGATGTGTTACAAAGACCTTAAATTATAATTTATCATACAATTTCTGGTCAGGGGCCTTTTATTACCCCTTCATGAAAATGGGCTTGTGTAGTCCAGCTTTCTAACTTTTCCATGGCCACTACCACCCTCTGCTCTCTGCTCAGATTTCACAATAATCAGAATTTTCCGATTTAGTATGCTATTAATTACATGAATAATAATTATTATAGCATATGCTTTACCAGAGCTCCAAAATCATGGTCATTCTAGTTTAAAATTAGCCCGTCCAGCGAAATAAACAGGCAAACCTCACGTTAATTTACGTGGGACAAAAAAACCTGCCTTGACTGATAATGCCAATTACTTTGGAGCATCCTTTGGTCAGAGCTGTAAAGAATCGCCTGTCCTTGTGTTTTCTTCCCAGGGACATGGGCTCTCTAGCTCTCCTTCATGGCCACAGTTACTTTCTATTGCCTCCATGACTCATCACTCATGGGTGAAGGCCATGAGAGACCCTTTCTTCTGTGCCTTTCCTCTTCTTCCTCCCTCTGTGGTATGACCTACAGACATTTTAGGTAACAGCAGAACAACTCAAGAGCGAGCATATTCAAAGGAGAATTTGTACTATGTCAGAAGTAAATACTGGCATAATCTAAACCCATTAGGTGTTAATGGACGAGTTTCCCAAATTACTGTACTTGGGCTGCCTCTCTCTATAATGAGAGAGGTTACTTGGGGAACAGTTTATTGCTGCTTGTATGAAAATGTTCACAAGGAAAAGATAGAGGAAATGAAGGTAATTTTCTTGTCAGGAGCTGGGCTGAAGGTAGCTGGTGTTTAAGGAGGCAACTTGAGTGTTTGGCAAATTGAAACAAAACGTTCTTGTCACAAGTGGTAGTACCACTCAGGTTTTATCCTCAGGCAAGGTATATGTGAGGTACTGCTGGTGGATTTTTTGTTTTAAATGTGCCTCTCCTGGAATACATTTGGAAATTTCTAACATTACCATGTCTGACTATTTCCTGTATCCAGTTGTGTGACCTTGGTAGCATGAAGGGATGTTAGAGGAAGGGGCTGCCACACACAGCTCTGGGGCCGAGCATCCTCTTCCCTGCTGGAGCCCAGCCCAGGGACCCAGTGTCTCCTCCCTGGTGAAGGTGGCTGCTGCTTTCCTGCCCAACCACCAGCAACTTCAACAGTGCCTATGCACTGGACTTGCACAAGTGCCAACAGCCAAGTTCCTTTCTCCCCTTTGGCTATCAGGGCTGAGTTTCATTAGTTAAAGCACACACTCCCCTTGTGCAGCTGATCTTGCTGAAACAACCAACTTCCTGCTCCACATACCCTTGTCAACAAGTCTGGCTGACCAGGGCGCTCTGCTGTTGTCTTCTGGGAGTGTTGTTCGGTTGCGTTTGTGCATCTGTACGCTTGGCTTCCCCCCTTCTTTGTCTTCCCACTTGACAAGGTCCTTGGTCAGATGACATTAACAAAGCAGGTGCTCTCTCCTTCCATATGGTCTGACAGGTAGATTCCAGCTGGGCTCTGGATACAGATACAGAAGGGGGGGGATGGGAATTGTGCCTCTTTCTGAAGGAAGGCATCTTGGTACCCTTAGCATGCAGTCCTAATTAGAAACTACTCCTTTGACACAGTCAGGTGATGCTGCATTCCTACACTGCTTACTGTGTATAGATAGTTAATAAGAGCATTTTGGTGCATTTAAGAAGTAAGAAACTACTGGTAGTAGTTAATCTAGAGCAAACAGTAGTGGAGGGTTTGTATATGTCTAATGAAGTTACACAGACATCTTGAATGTATTTTATTAAGATGTGATAAACAGTTCCTGACAATCAACCTTATAAAGTAATGGCAGCAAAATGGAAGGAAATTTAAAGGGAGGATATTTAACACATAACAGAGAAAAAATATCTGTTAATGATAATTTAGCATAGTGTCTCTTCAGAGCACAGTTTTATGCCTGTTTGAAAGGTTATAAAACTTCAAAACAGTACAAATAAGAAAGCAAAATGAGCCACAAAAGTCATTATGAAAAT